GACTTACGAAGGCGACAGAGGGGACAAGAGAAGGCACTAAGCGGGCGGCATGGCGGTGAGGGGAGCCGTGCGGCCAGGTGGCCGCCGGGCCTGCTATGCGAGGAGTCTTAGACCTGTAAGAGGATGAGCAAAGGCGGTAATTAACACAGGCATCATCTCCCAGCGCGATTATACCGGGACCTCGCTAATGGTAATTGCGCTTTAAATACACCTCACCCCCTTTCAGAAAGCGGGATGCGAGGCAAAGCTACCTCGCGAGCTACGAAGCCAAGCAGAAAGACACTCCAGCTGCTGTGGAGACCTGCTCCTCCTAAGGCTGGTTTTGCCCACTTCAGGTGCTGTTTCCAGAGGTGATGCTGCCCGAAGGAGCCCCTCTGGCTCCCAGCCCGGTGGGTTTGAGGTGGGGAAGACGGGGGGTGCCATCGCCTCAGCCCCACAACCACAGAGCGGGCCGCAGCCGGTGAAGCACCCCTCAGCCCCAGGCATGGTGAATTAGCAGGCCCCGGCCCACAGCACTCAGGGCAGAAACACAAAGGGGTAGGGCGAGCGTAAAGGCAGTCAGTGGCAGCGACTCCCCCACATTAAAGAAGAACTACAGCCAAATGGACTTGGTCAAGTTCAGTACAACTTGAGAAGCGATCCGAGCCATCTTGAGCATGTTTAGTGCTCTTTCCGCCACTGTGAGGGAAAGGAATGGCTGTGGTTCTTTCTCTAAAAATTGAAACTCTCCAGGTTAAGGTAATTCCTGTATCTAAACCAGACAAGGTGTCCCTCATCCCTGTTTATTGGTGAGGCTGGTTCCTTCTGCCTCCCAGTCTGGTTGGTTTCACTGAATTTCACTGAATTTCTGGAGTTGGAAGGGACCATAGGGAAGCGACCATGGAAGGGATCATCTAGTCCTGCTGAAGCAGGATTGCCTAGAGCTTGTCAGAGCATGTTACTCAGGACGGCATCCAGGCGGGTCTTAAAAATCTCCAAAGAAAGGGACTCCACAACCTCCCTGGGCAGCCTGTTCCAGGGCTCTGTCACCCTTACTGTGAAGAAGTTTTTCCTCATATTTGAGTGGAACCTCTTATGTTCCAACTTGTGCCTGTTGCCCCTCATCCTGTCACTGGCAACCACTGAAATGAGTCTGGCTCCCTCCTCCTTCAACCCACCCTTGAGATACTTGTCAGCATTAATAAGGTCCCCCCTCAGCCTCCCTCAATTCGCCTCAATTACTTGCTTCTGATTTACACCAACCCTTAAAGCAGGAGCACGTGGCATGGGGTATAAGAGCGAGCTGGATTGCTTCTTCTAGAGCCAGTTTTCCATAAACTGAAGTGTTGAAACAACAACAACAAAAAAATGAGCCTCCCCCCCTTAGGCCAGCAGCTCAGGCTGGAGTAATAGCAGGCTGTGACAGCAAGATGGCCCTATTCCACTGCCCAGCTCTGCCTCTTCTATCAGGTGTAGGCATCAGCTGGCTTTCACAAAGTTGGTTTTCCAGGCTTTCTGGAGATGGCACACTGCTGCAAGAGGAAGGGAAAAAGGGCAGGAGCACCCCTTCCAGCAGCAACTCACAGCTGCGCTTAAATGCGGTCTTAAACTGCACCTATTCTTTGTTCTGACTTTTTTTTTTGACTCAAATGTGAGCAGTAGGCTGATGTTTCACAGCATGTAGTAGCTCGTGTCGAAGGTTTTCAAACTTGACCGGGGGTGTGGTAAAGAAAGATGCGTGCATGTCGACAGATAACAAAATACTGCCTTTCTGGCAGCTTGGTGCCGAGAGATCATTTTGTCTTAGTTCAGACTTGACAAGAATTGCTGCCCTTGCTAGCTCAACGTAATAATTTAAGGCGTCAAAATATCCCAAATCAGCCAAATTCCATTAAACACAGAGTGCAAAGAAAATTTATCTTAAACAAGCTATGTAGCAATTTTAAAGTTGTTGCATTAATTCCCCTGAGGAAGAAAGGCTTCTCAGCAAGGGGGGGGGGGGTTTAAGAGGTTAGTCAACTTAATGTGTCATTTTTTTGTTAGATGTGCTTTAATTTAGACTACTCTAAATTGAATGAAAAAACATGGAGAATGGAGATAAGGAGCTTTTGGGATTAAAAGAAAAAAAATAAACCCCAAATCCTTCATTACTATCTTACAGCTTTTTCTGAGTAGCACTTTGCTGTTGCAGTTCTGAAATTAATGAAGTGTGCATGGATTATTGCTGCATGTGTTTTACTTCAAAGCTGGTTATTCCCCAGAAGTCAGAGGCTTTGCATATCTGTTAATATAGTACTTGCCAGGCCACTTTTCTAACACAAACTTCTGGGTTTTGACTCGGTGCCAGCAGAGCAAAATAACATCCTTACCTTTGCAGCTGTGACCACAACATAAAATTGAGCAGGAGGAAGAACTGATGCTGGGGGTTGTTTTCACTACACTTAAGGCACCTTAAAGTGTTGGAGCTCACACAAAGACACAGGCCCAAGCATGCCTTCCCTAAAAATGTGGCTGTAAGGGCACTTGACCTTTCTTTTATACCTGCCAGGGTTTAGCCAGCACAGGTGAATGCAACTTATCTGATAAACAACATAGCTCCATGCGAGCATTGTTCTTGCCCAGCAGTTTCTCTCATTTGCCTCTACTACCTTACCTTGTCTGCAGCACAGCCCTTAGAGCAGCTCCGAGGAGGATTTGCTGGCGACCCAACTTGTGGTGGTTCTGCAAATTCGGAGAGAGCTCTAGATGCAGGTCTAAAGGCTGCATCAGCTCTAGCCTGCTTTTGTGGAGACACCTCACTGCTCCTCCAGCTCCCAACTGCACAAGCACCAGAGAAACAGAAGTCAACAAGTGATGTGCATGAACGCTTGATCTGGAAATGCTTGCATATTCAAGCAAGGGGGAGGGAAGAAAGGGACTTAGCTGGATTTTTGTATTTGTCTATACTGTGTTAGTGACTCAGTCTACAGTTTTGAGCTGTGATTTTTGCATAACTGAGGAGGTTGCAGAAAAAGGCTGTATTGTTCTCAGTTTCTGGAAGTAAGCAGCAGTTACATGACCATACAGCTAGTGTGGGAGCTAACCTCTTGAAGATGCAGTCTTCCTTTTTTTTTTTTTTCTCCTTGGCCTATCATAATGAATAGAAACTATTTGAGTTTCTTCTGAAAAGCTACCTGAAAACTTGCAATTTTACTAACACTGTTCCCGTTGTCATTTCAGCATTGCTTCTAGTCTTTTCCCCACTGAGAGCAACTTAAAAACATCACAAAACATCACTGGCTATTTATACTGTCGTTTGCTTTCAAGCCTGTTTTAGGGTTGCTTTCTGCTACTAAGTTAGAGTCTCTTTAGTTAAGTGATAGAATACTTTCATCTGGTGGAGCAGCAGTGGTGGGTATTTTTGTTTCAGGACTGCACAGCAGTAATAACAGTTATATTTAAACCCTCCTCTTCCCCCAAGGCAGGGTAATTTTCTTTTCTTGGTATTTACATATTTTCATTAAGAGACTGCACAGCCTACCACCAGCTAAAACACATCGTCCCCGTTTCCAGAGCTGTCTTGGAGTACTCTGCATGTTCTCAATACAGAGCAGATAATTTGGGGGGTTTGGCCCCTTCCCTGGCTTTCTCACCCCTCCCTACACCCAATAAAAAGCCGTTCCTGCTATTACTTTGATCAGTACAATAAACATTGTAAGCCCAATTATCCATTACCTAAAAATGTACTCTGCCATCATGTTATTAGACCTCTCCTAGGTCAAACTGGAGGCACGTGAACAGGGAATGTTTTCCTTTTTCATATCTGTAGCTGTATCTGCTTTGAAGAATGGCTTTGTAAACTTCTCCCATTAACTAACAAAGAGATAGAAATCTTCCACATCACTGTGTGCCTGCTCCAGATGCGGATTAACTTCGTTAATGGCAGCACTAATCTCC